TTTTTGGCTCACCCTACTGTTCATGTGAATAAAGAATCCGAATTTCGCCTTTTTGTAAATCTTATCTTATTATATTTACCACTGTTTTGTAATATTAACATTAATATTTATGAATAAAAACCTTAATTATTAATATTTTTGCATTAAGGTGCGTCGACTGCCGCGGTCATTGGCACGATTATTTGGGAGGAAAATCCTCATGGACACCCAACCTGAAGGGTAGTACTGGTAAAAACCTATCCGGAATAAATTTGAGTAAAATAACAAATGTCGCTTGAGACTAAATGTATAAAATAGCCTAAGAAGGACAAACAGAATATCACAGATAAGCGTGATGATTATGATTAAATAGAAGATAAACTTTATATCACAGACATAAGAAGTCCAAATTCATCTAGAAAGTACTTCCTCAATATGAAATACAGTTATAATTAAGCAAGTCTTTTAGATCCTCCTCAAAGATTTTGTCTTACTCTTTTCCGATAAAGGGGAGGTGCAATCAACAAATATGTGTCGTACTGAAAGTGTACATCCACAGCCTACGCAAGTATTTCAAATTGACCAAAGATATAGTGTATCTGCAATTTCTGGAATTTTTTTAAAATTTTACATGTAGCAACGACGAAATTTTTTCGATAAAACTGGAAGGAGAAAATAAAAAACCTGAAGACCAACAACATCAACAGGAACGGATAGCCCACGACGGCCAGGAGGCCCGTGGGCTTACGGCCGAAAAGGCCAGACAAGTCACGGAACTGTACTTGAAAACGTTCCGAAGATACCAAGCGAAAACTGACGTTGCCAACCTGGGCAAAAAATCCCAGAATCTGGGAATTTTGGACTTTGCCCCTCAACAGGACAACAAATCAAATGAATCCAAGCACCAACGCACCCCAACAAGCCCATACCCAGGGAGATACACCCCCTTTCCTTGCCCCAGATGTACAAAAAATGGACACCACCCCGAAAAATGTCCACACTGACCAGACAGAGACCATTAAAAAACTGACTGAGGCTCTCATGAAAAAAGATATACAAATAGAGAGCCTACAGAAACAAATTACCAAGGTGATAGAAGAAAAGACTAAGTTAAATCTAATGCTGGATCAGCTGATATGGAAAATGAATGAAAAACAAGATACACAAAGGGTAGAAGAGTTTTTTCAAGAACAAAAAAGAGAAAAACCACAGATGACATTGAAAATGAACCATCCACCAGTGGAAACATAATTAAACCGACCCCAAAAAACTTGCAAAACATATACAAAACACCGAAAAACAAGGGAGCGCTGCCAACAAAAACTAACGCAATGGAACACCCCAAATAAAACCATCGACCCAGCAGGAAGAAAAAGAAAAAGAAAACCCCCCCGTAAAGGTACCGCCCGTAGTGATCAGGAAGAAAGATAACTGGACTACAATATCAAGCGAACTTGGCAGAAGGCAAATAAAATTTCATAAGGCTCAAAACATAACAGATGGGATAAGAGTATTCCCTACAACAATACAAGACTTTAGATCCCTGACGGACTTCCTTAGGGTAATTCCATTTATTAGCCACCAATGAGTGCACCTCATGTACTCTAATTTTATTTCTTTTTTAACTGTAAATAGACATGGACCCAAGAAGTGAAAAAAACTCCCCTTTTCTTTTCTCCCCCTATCACCTATTTATACAGGGCTACGCAAAAGTTACTATGCAGACCAAACTTTAAAAAATTGTACTTTTTTTGCTAATAAAGCTATCGACATTAAACAAACTGTTAATTGTTAAGAAAATATTTCTGCTTTAAACCATATAGGACACATTTAGTTATTGATGCCCTAAATGGTCTTTGGGAATTTTTTTGAAAATGCAATTTTTTGGCAAAATTGTCTAATTTTATAAATTCATATATTCTTAGAACAACTTGCCAGCAAATTTTTTTTAATGTAGTTTGTTACCATAGATCTTACTCTATATAAAAGCAATGAAAACATTTTCAAATAATATTGGCTAAGAGTTCAAAAAAATATAATAAAAATTCATGTTTTCGAAAAATCACTATTTTCAGCCATTTCATGGTTTAAAAAGGCTATGTTTGAGTGAGTCGATTTAAACCAATTTATGCTTATCATCACATGCACTTATTAGCCTCCAATAACCATTAATAAAATTATTGTGTATTTTGCTTTTAACTGGGCTGTGGATGTATGTACAGCCCAGCTATAAGCAAAATACACAATATGCCCACCTGATTTTCAGCCATTTCATGGTTTAAAAAGGCTATGTTTGAGTAAGTCGATTTAAACCAATTTATGCTTATCATCACAGGCACTTATTGGTCTCCAATAATCATGAATAAAATTATTATGTATTTTTCTTTTAGCTGGGCTGTAGATGTATATGTCCACCTGTTACTATATCCATATTATTAACCATATATTTCGAAAAAGCGTATTACATCTTTAAAATAACTCGACAGCCTTGAATTGACTTCTAATTCATTCTGAATAAAAATATAAAATATAAAAACCACATACAGTGGCGTCGAAAATTAACTACCCATTTATTTATTTTTTAAATTAAGAAAACATAATCAAATGTACAAAAAATTAATTAAATGACTAAAAGACATACTTTTCATAAACTTTATATTTAGACAAAATAAAACAGGTATTAAATCCTAAATTTGAATTAAACCTAACTGCATATAATCAAACTGAAGAAATCATATTCTTAACTTTTACAATCACCTAAAAAACCTATTTACTATTTTTTACCTCTAAAAAGTTATATGAATCGGAAAATTTTCTTATGTGGATAATGTCTATCAAGAGGAATAAATTAACGGCTTATATACATATGGCGTTTAAATGGATCGCAGCAGACTTCACCAAAAATGTTGGTAAAATTATATAGATACTTTAACTTGTGATACCTACATACAAATATCGGTTACAGTTGCATCCACTCGCCATTCTATTATTTCTTTTCCTCCTTAGTACAAGATTCAAATGGAAAATCGCGAAAAATATTTTTATCCGAAATCTGCCGAAAGTAGTCAACAATCGGCAGTAAAGTAAAAAAAATCGGCAGTAAAGTAGAACTTTATTTTTTTAATAAAAATAAAGTTAATTTTATTAATTAGATTAAAAAATCGCCGCAGCGAGCAAATATATAATAACCGTCGTAACAAACAGTATACGTAGACTACGTATACTGTTTGTTACGACGGTTATTATATATTTGCCCGCTGCGGCGACACAATACATTCAAACTAAATTTGATTTGATCATCAAATGGCATTTGATTTAATCATCAATATTAATTATTGGTATTATAAAGTGTGATTTTGAATAAAATTTAATATGCACCTCGGCATTAAGGTCATTTTCTATCACTCACGTGGTTATTTGCCTCGGCTTTCGCCTCGGCAAATAATTACGACTTTACTGCCTTGATACATAAATAACTAGGTATTTATGGCATTTTTCATTAATTAATTTTCCAACGGAACAATCCATTTTTAGACACAATTTGACACTTTTAAATGGCAGAAATTGGTGTGTAGGTAAACTGTTTTTAGAAAATTATGCACAATTTAATAATTTAATATTTTAGTTTTTGTTTATTTACAAAAGGTAAAAAATTAGTATGTTTAGAGTAAGTAGGTTAGTTTTTATGAATATGTAAAAATTTCAATATCTTAAAAATATTTTAATTACGAGTATTAAAACAAAATCTTAAAAATTGTCTCTTGCGAATAGAACTTAATTCAAGTCTTCCTACCGAGTTCTTTTATAAAATATTTGTTTAATATAATATTATGGATTTTTATTAATATATTCCACATTATAATAATACAATTAATAATATTATAATCCATATTATGGATTTAGTCAGGTGGGCATATTGTGTATTTTGCTTATAGCTGGGCTGAGATGATGCAGCCACAGCCCACTTAAAAGCAAAATACACAATAATTTTATTTATGGTTATTGGAGGCTAATAAGTGCATGTAATGATAAGCATAAATTGGTTTAAATCGACTCACTCAAACATAGCCTTTTTAAACCATGAAATGGCTGAAAATAGTGATTTTTCGAAAACATGAATTTTTATTATATTTTTTTGAACTCTTAGCCAATATTATTTGAAAATGTTTTTATTGCTTATATGGAGTAAGGTCTTTGGTAACAAACTCCATTAAAAAAAATTTGCTGGCAAGTTGTTCTAAAAATATATGAATTTATAAAATTAGACAATTTTGACAAAAAATTGCATTTTTAAAAAATTCTCAAAGACCATTTAGGGCATCAATAACTAAATGTGTCCTATATGGTTTAAAGGAGAAATATTTTCTTAACAATTAACAGTTTGTTTAATGTCGATAGCTTTATTAGCAAAAGAAGTAAAATTTTTTAAAGTTAGGTCTGCACAGTAACTTTTGCATAGCCCTGTATAAATAGGTGAAAGGGGGAGAAAAGAAAAGGTGAGTTTTTTTTACTTCTTGGGTCCTTATCTATTTACAGTTAAAAAAGAAATAAAATTAGAGGATATAAGGTGCACTCATTGGTGGCTAATAAATGGAATTACCCTTTAGAAACGATAATATACCACACCATACGTTCCAGCTCCCAGATGAAAAGGCCCTTCATATAGTGTTAAGAGGAATTCCGTCAGAAATCAACGTAAAGGACGTACAGGAGGACTTGAAGAGCCACGGCTTCCACCTCACCAGTATCCACCGAATGACCAAAGGGCCTTTGGCAAAGGCCCAGAAAAAGTTCCCATGCCACTAATCCTCGTTATGCTACCAAGAACCGAAAAATCCATCACAGTGCAAACCCACGATCAGCCAATGCTTTCGCTTTCAGCGCTTTGGGCATGGACAAAGCAGGTAAACAGCAGAACCCAAGTGCGTCAAATGTGGTGAAAATCATATGTCTGACACCTGTACCAAATCAAAAAAAGAACCGCCAACATGTGCAAACTGCGGCAAGGCACATCCAGCAAACTACAGAGGCTGCGACAAATTCCCCAAATTATCAAGAGACAACAACACACAACACAGGCCAGCCAAACTCTCAACAACATACGCACAAGCGGTTATGGAAACACAAACACCACAGGCAAACCTAACCACGCAGCTACAACTCTTTACAAACATGTTCCTACAGATACAAAAAATCGCAAACTAGATCCGGAGTATCCTGCCTAAGACATAGCGACAAATAACATAACAGGAAGCCAAATTATCTAAAGATTCTGGCATGGAATGCCAACTCCCTTAGGAACAAAATACAGGAATTTACGGAACTAGTACTAAGACTAAAAATAGACGTGGCTATGGTAGGCGAAACACATTGGAAAAATTCGAATGATTTCAACATACCAAACTACAAAGCCTATTTTAATAACCGACACAGGAGAGAAGGAGGTGGCACGGCAATTTTCATCAAGAGGAACATAGAACATCACCAATCCCCCACGCCAGTATTGCAAGACTTGGAAGCCAACGCAATTGAAGTCCAGGCGTCTCACCAAGGAAGTTTGAGACTTGTCTCAGCATACTACCCTCCGCAACATGCCTTCACAGAGTCAGATTATGAAAAATCTATGAGACTAGACAATATACCAACCATCCTTGGAGGCGATCTCAACGCCAAGCACTCAACATGGGGAAGCCGTGTCACCAACCAATATGGTAGGACCCTTTATAAACTTGCTGCCAAACATCCCTCGGAAATGCATGCACCAGACGGCCCGACCATCTACCCTAACCTGGACTGCCAGATATAATAGATATTGCTTTGGTCAAAAACATTGCAGTTAACATGGACATACAAGTGATCCCTGAGCTGTCATCTAATCACAATCCAATATTAATAACCTGGGGAGACAAGGACACTTTAACAACAGACACCTATCTCAGAACAGACTGGGAAAAATTCCGAAAGCTTGTATCAGAAAGGATAACCCCAAACGATCAACACTACAGCGTAAATCAAGTGACAAACACAGTAACCAATCTCCAGAATACGATATCAACCTCTATAGAAGAAGCCACCAGAAAGATCCTAAAGAAAACCAACCATGATATACCAGAGAATACAAAAGCTCATCAATAAAAGGAGAAGGGCGAAGAAACTAGCACAGAGGACAATGGACCCAACACATAAAATGGAGGTCAACAGGCTAGGTAGAGCAGTCAAGGCACAACTGGACAACAGTGAAAAATGGGAAAAACGTCTCCAAGACCTTGATCCAAAATATCCAGAGGTATGAAAACTCGTCAGATGGACCAGGACAAAACCGCAATCCATTCCTCCTCTACTGATGCCCAATACCACAGCCAACACCCCAACAGAAAAGGCTGAAGCATTTGTACAAACTCTCGAAGAACAGTTTCAAAAGAATGTCCAACCAACAGACAACCTCCAAAGAGACCAGAGCATAAAGGAGAAAGTGTTGAACGCCTTGGCTCAAGAAACCCAAGACACAATAGAACCAATAACAACTGCCGAACTGCGTAGTAACATCAAAGACCTCAAAACCAAGAAAGCTGCTGGAATAGACTCGATCTCCAACACAGCTGTAAAAAACTTACCCGATAACGCCATCGAACAACTTAAATGGTGTATCAATGCAGCTCTTCACACTGTGATGATAAAAAACCCTGCAAACCTGCAAACCAAACAGCAAGCTATAGACCCATACTGCCGTGCTAGGCTAAAAGGACATATCTGCAATATCTGGTAGGAAAGGACAGAAGAAAATTTTAATTTTAAAAAACAATGAAATATGGCTTTTTTGCTTAACTACCATATATTGCAGATATGACGTTTTTTCTTAGAACAGCAGTTTTTGGTAGTTAAGAAAAAACGTCATTTTTTATTGTTTTTAAAAATTAAAATGTCCTTTACTACCAGATATTACAGATACGTCCTTTTAGCTTAGCACGGCAGCATAAGCCTCCTGCCAGCCCTTGGAAAACTCACAGAGCAGTCAATACACACAAGGCTAAAAGAACAGATAGAAAAGCGTAACCTATTGCCACAAGAACAGTTTGGGTTCAGAGAAGGTCACTCCACGGAGCAACAAACACTAAGACTAGCGGAAACCATTCTAGACGCAGCAAACCACAGGGACTCGGCAGGAATTGTACTGATGGATGTTGAAAAGGGTTTTGACCGGGTATAGCATCACGGTCTCCTCTACAAGCTACTGAAATGCGACATCCCACTAAGCCTTGTCAAACTCATCAAATCTTACCTGGAAGGGCGTACCTTTAGAGTCAGAACGGAGGACAAAACATCAACCCCATAACAGCTGGGGTCCCTCAAGGATCTAAACTAAGACCAACACTTTACAACTTATTCACAGCTGACATCCCACACCATCCAGGTACCACACTGGCATTATATGCAGATGACACGGCACTGGTTGCCACAAACAGAGACCCGAAGATGATAAGAAACAACCTCAACAACGCCCTAGAAGAACTGAACTCATGGTACAAAAATAGAAGATAAATATATACCCGGCGAAAACCCAGGCAATGTTTGTCACTCTAAGAACTAGAACGCCCGTCAATCCACCAAACCTCGAACTAGATGCCAATCAAATACCCTGGGTAAACAAAATAAAATACCTAGGAATCACGTTTGGCAACAGATTGACATGGAAGGACCACATTAAAGAAAAAGAACATAAAGCAATAGGGACATTAAGGCAGCTAGGACCTATACTAAATTCCTCTTCAACAAACCTAAAAGTGAAAAGCAATATCTATAAAGCAGTGATAGTGCCAGCAATGACATATGGAGCAGCCACCTGGGGAAATGCAGCGAAAACTAAAATAAAAAGACTTCAGACAGTTCAGAACATAGACGCGAGGAGGATGACAAAAGCCCCATGGTTTTTCCGAAACATAGACATAGCGCAGGACCTAAACCTATCCCGCATAGGAGACGAAATTAAAAAAGTGGCTAACCGAACGATACAATCTATGTCAATCCACCCAAACCCGCTAACCAGGGAAGCTGTAAACTATACCCCATCTGCAGAAAATATACCAAAGAGACCCAAGCACCTGCTACTGCAAACCAATCTGTGATAGCGCTAGTCAAACCAAACAATCTGTGATAGCTCTAGTCAAATACCAAACTGTGATGCACATAAAATGATGTCCCGTATACAAGATATATGTTAAGATAAAAAATGTTGTGAAGTCCCATATACAAATTACCTAAAGAAGTCCATATTCTGAAACATTAAATAAAACTTAAATTAAATCAAATCAAAATAAATTGAATAAAATGAACGAAACAAACAATGAATAAAGATATGAATTTTGGGCAAAGAAAGGATAAGAAATATTTCAACCCTGAGAAAATAAAGGCAGACCACAGTCTAGGGACAGCCAGAATAATAATTAAATTTTGTAAATAAACTATAAATATAATAAATAAAATTCGAATAAAATTGTTTTTCAGAACTAGAAAAACACTTTTTACAATAAAATTAACCAAAACATGTCAAAGTCACAATCCACACAACAAGGTCTGTTCGATCTCGTAGTAAAAATACTAAAAATCACTGCAACACTGCACATCATACGATGGAGGCCATTTTTGTTGTTTACAATTCTTGTGCTTTGGGTTTGTACAGATTAATAATCGGTTTAAACGTTGTGTTTCTTACAGACTTGCAAGCCTTAAAAGAGACCTCAAAGTGGTAAGAACAATCATTTTACTCCTCTTTTGTAAAAAAATAAACCTTATTCTATCAGGGCTGTCAAATGTCAATTCGAAGGTTAATTTAAGGTTATTTTATAACCCACAAATTAACCTTCAAATTGACATTTGATAGAATAAGGTTTATTTTTTACAAAAGAGGAGTAAAATGATTGTTCTTACCACTTTGAGGTCTCTTTTAAGGCTTGCAAGTCTCTCTGTAAGAACCACAACGTTTAAAACGATTATTAATCTGTACAATCCCAAAGCACAAGAATTGTAAACAACAAAAATGGCCGCCATCGTATGATGTCCAGTGTTGCAGTGATTTTTACTACGAGATCGAACAGACCTTGTTGTGTGGATTGTGGTCAAAGTGAAGTTTTTTTTTAATCATAATCATTAATGTTCTTATCAAAAATTTGTTGTGTTTTTGTTTGTCACCCAATTATGGAAAGAATAAGTATTATAGATCGTCTTCATCAAATAAAACTTTTATTATTATTTTTGTATTATCCATAATTAAACGCAAATTTAAACAAAGAAAAACACCAAATTTAAACCAATAAGGATATGAGTCATATCATATGACACAGAACATAATGATATCAGAGATAGGTTTATGTCATATCATATGACACAGAACATAATGATATCAGAGATAGGTTATGTTGCCTCTTATTCACGTATGCGCCGTCAGATTGCGCGTTTCAATTAAGTGTGTCGTCATTGACTTCTTCACTCAACGGTGTCGTTCTTTTTAATGCTTACTCACATCACTACATCTTATAACACATTAACTTAAGTGAGCTGAGATCTCAGGCGAAAAGAACGCACCTATTGTATCCAAACTAATAAAAAAAATCTCAGTTAGTTTGGGCTACCGAACATGAATTGATTATATATTACTTAGATTACTAATTATTATTAAATCAATAATAACGGCGTACAATTATAACGTTCCAGTAAAAATAAAGAGCTACATGCAGATTTAAAGAATAGTTTTGCTTACAATTCCAACTGTCACGGAGTTGCTGAGCGACAGCGGGCTTCCCAAAGCGACGACCCACTCTCCGACCGATGTGTCTCCGGATCGGGCGAACTGGAGTTGCGGCAACTTTTCATCAGTTTTCAATTTTAACAGTGCCAAATCAATGTTTAGGTCCGCATCCTCGACTTGCACGGGAAAACTACGGCCATCCCTAAAAATGGCCGAGATCGTCGATTGCGGCTTGTTGAGTACGACATGAGCATTAGTGATCGCCCATCCATCTTCACTTATGATAAACCCAGAACCGTTTGAAGTTACAGCCGGTTCGCCGGTTTCCGGGTCTTTTTTCATGGGGTCGCGTATTTCCAGATAAAATACGGCCGAAGCACATTTTTTTACGACCTTTAAACAAGTGAACAGATCAATTTATAATATTTAAGTTCACAAGGTGAGTTGTAACAATACGATTTAAAACTAAGCCACAAAGGAACCGAATATTTTGTAGCCTGAGTTAACTTAACAAGTTTTTCCAACAGTTAAGAGAAAAATTAATTAATGTTTTCGAGTGCGACGATGCCGCTGTGATTAAAATGTATTCTAACCAAAGGAAATTCTGGACTTTACGATGGTTTTCAAAAAAAATAATGTTGATTTGGTTATTATTATATTTATATTTTAAAATAAAACTTTTTTTTAAGAATAATCAGGTTAGCTAGCAGGTGCCAATTTTACTAATATTACTATATTTATCTGTGTATGTGAACTCGAAAAAACAAAATCTTACATAATATACATTTTTCTGACTTACTGTGTGAGAAAAAATAGTTCCTATTTAAGAAAAAAAGCTTAGTTATACTAAAAATGAAGCATACAAACAACCTGTTTTTAATAAAACCAGGAACCCTTTCAAAAATTAGTACCTTCGACAAAAATTATAACCTCAGACACCCTCAGATATGGGTATAGAAATGTAAAATTATATGCGTATAAGGTATCAACAAATTCTACAGCTATTTTTACATTTTACACGATTGCTATAGAGAGGCAAATAGGATACTATTACTTCAAGAAGATGAAAATCATCTTTAAGTCCAGAGTTCTCTCTGGTTAGAATAAATTTAATAATAACAGCGGCATCGTCGCACTTTTTTCCTAAATGTAACTTTACTATTTTTTTGGTATTATTTTAAGATAATACATTGTATTAAATACAATTTTTTTTAATTAAGTTGTGTTTTTTAGAAAATTTAAAAGGATATTTACTTATTTTTTTAATAATTTTTTATGCAAAAAAGCATTCTTTTATTTTGTTAATAGACTGGAAATGAGACATCCGTAGGTCTTAAAGTGGGATAAGAATATACCAAAGCAGATATCGAACCACCTCATATACCTAACTAAAACTACTTTTTTGTGAACCTACAAAAATTTTTAAATCTATACGATTATAGGTAAATTATTATTTTATGCGAAATTTATGTGTTTTTTTAAAGCGCTTGAAATAAAATTTACCACTATTTTTTTGTTAATTATTTCCAGATGTTAAAAAATGTAGTGGGGAATCATAATATTTTATTATAGATGCATTTTTTACAAAACTTTATAGAGTTATAACGGAATCAGTATTATACCTTAACCATTAGTATAAAACCCTTTAAAAATAAATATTTAAACCCGGGTGTCAAAATTAATTAAACATTGGTTGGGGTGTCCCGGGTTTAACTTTTTTCGAGTAAAAATGATGAAGTAAAGTTAATTTAAAGTTCATTTGTACTTATCTGAGTTTAAAGTGGTTACAAATTTTAAGATAAGTGAGCAGTTTTGTTCTTTAGGAAATAATGACAATAATAATTAAATAATAATACTGTTTAAAAAATAGTTTTACAAAATATAATAGAAATATATGTTTAGGAGAGCTGTAAACAGTTTTTCCGCACCTTCGCCATGAACAAAAATGAAGCTCAGCAACAAAATGTTCCATGGCGGCTGTAACTTGCGGTCAATAGAATCCCGAAATTCGAGATTGAATTTTCTACCCCTAATAGCAACACGTATAGGATAATGATATGCACATTTCGTACACTTAAACCATGCCCGAAAAATTTACATTTTTTGAGTTAAAAAAACAAAATTTTTATTATTTTTTCAGGGGTATCAACATTTGTTATGGAATTGATCGACGCAGCTTTTATTAAAACTGATTAACCCCCCTGTAAACAAGAATGTTGCCCGAATTTTTCTGAACAATTTATATTAGTTTATATGAGTTTAAGTCGTACGATAAGCACCAATTTACGACCACCCCATTCATCCCCCAATAAAAAACCCATGGAAAAGTTTTGTTCGCAAACTTGGATTTAGTACCTGCATCCCCTACATAATCACATAATCACATAATAATTTCATCATTCGTTTGACTTGTTTTTTTTTTAATTTAAACTTCTTGTAGATACTTAATAAATTATCCCTTATTACAAGTTCCTTTGTTTTGAATTGTGTACAAACTCAATTTGCCTATATGTTCTGCATCAAAGATTATAATTATATGTTTATGTGTACCTACTTTTAAACGCCAATTAAATGTACCTATCATATTTATATTTTTTTATTTATTTTACTTAGGTTTTTACCTTTATGTACCTGTTCTTTATTATAGGCAAACTACTTTCTAAAATAAGTATTTTTTTAAACAATTTACTACCTACTTGTAGAGAAGGCGGCGTTAGCGTTAGCCCTGCTTAAAATACCCCATAGTGTTTCTATAAGGTGTATCTGGATGTATAGGACCCATACACAGAAAAAAATCTAACATTGTACCAAGAACAGCGCTGTCATTGAATGCATTAAAATTAAAGCAATCTAAATTGTTATTTGCTCAATTAATTACTATTAAACCAAAATAGGGAAATATTTTGCCTAAATGTCAAAGAATTTATTGCGTTAAATGTATACATAGTATACATACAATAGTAACGTTATTAAATAAATCAAATTAGTATTTAATGCAATAACATTCTACCATTCTAACAAATAAATATCAATATAAATATCAATAGATTTAGGAGCGATAACTTTTGTTGTTAATTTAAAAACAGTAAACGATTATAAACCAAGTGCTAACTACCTATTGGTATTATAGGAACTGTTATTCAGGAATACGGATTACAAGATCCCATTGGTTTAATGGCTCACCCATTCATGCTATGCTAGTGTTTTTTCTGTGTAGTTGGGATTTATGGTTGTTCTATATAAATGTAGAAATTAGTTTTTCCCCCATAGGACCCCATAGGTTTTAATAAAACTTTGTAGCATGTTTTATGGTTGCTCTATAGGGATATCCCCATATAACCTTCATTGAGTTATTTGCTATCGGTCTCAATAGGGAAAATGTAAAAGTTATGGTGTGCCTATGGGTAATTTCCTATAAATTTTCTATCAGGCCGTATCCGGAAAAAACCATGGACCAATGCACATATTGAATCCGGTAGCGCCCGATAGATTATTTTGTATAGTTCTCTATGGGGTATTTTAAGCAGGGATTAGAGGCCAGGTGCAAAAGAAAAATGCGGGGCTTGAACTAAAAATATACTCTTGAAAATTAACATAGCGCTTAGCGGCAATAAACCAATAAAACATCAAACGAAAAACCAATTGAAGGGATTAGAGCTAAAACCGCCCAAGTGCATTTTTAAGTCAAAATTTTGTAAGCGTGTTACCTGATAGTAAAAAATTTTGACCTAAAAATGCACTTTGGTGGTTCAGCTTTTCCCTTCAATTAATATAGAAATTAACGTTTAAGAAAATATCACACATAATTTTTCCCTGCTTTAGCGAAAGCACTTTTCCCTATTGACAATATAGCCAAACCCACTAGTCGTTCTAGGCACATACCTTCTTGATCTTAAATATTTTTTTATTAATGTTAATTTTGAAAAACTCTGTTCCCGGTGTAATAATAATTGTTTTAAACGGATACAGGCAACTTCAAATACACATTTAGCAACATTGAACTGAATGATAATAGATGACGATGAAAGATATTATCTCTGGCAATGACCAGATATTATTTTGCCACACTGTGCTTACAGCTTGCCATTTTGCTAAAATGTACAATAATTTCGTTAAGACGCCTTGATGCGCGCGGGGCCTATAAAACGAGGGGCCGGGTGCAACCGCACCGTTTGCACATGCCTCACGCCGGCGGGTTTTAGGGACACTTCATGTATTTAAGTAAAGGGTGTATCAATAAGAGCGCAAGATTTGAATTTCGCCTGTTTGGCAACCATGATGTCACATGATTAATGACATGACAGATTGATAGGAGACAGATGGAAGTTAGTAAATATAGAGCATTACACGATAGAACAACCCGTCCTGATTGTTAAACACTATTATCAAAATGATGAAAGTTTGATTGCCACGATTCGTAAAGGGCGTCCAATATTTTTTCAAAATAATGTTCCTAATTCATCTACTGTGAAAAGAATAATCGAAAAATTTGAAAGCACTGCTTCGGTTAGTGATGTGAAACACACGACACGAGCTCGTTCAGAACAAAATGTCGCAGCAGTTCGCAAGAGTGTGGCCGAGAGTCCAGAGACGTCGATTTGCCATCGTGCACAAGAATTGGACATTGCAAAAGCCACTCTTCGGCGAATTCTTACTTAAGATTTGCATCTTCATGCCTACAAAGTCCAATTGACTCAACAACTCCAGCCAAAAGACAATGAACAGCGAAGAGACTTCACCAATTGGATCCTTGAGCAGCAAGAAGTGAATGCCGATTTTGCGGACAAAATCATTTTCAGTGATGAGGCCCATTTTCACCACTATTTAACACCCTTGGACTTTTGGCTGTGGGGTTATTTGAAGTCACAAGTTTATGCCAACAAGCCCGCCACCATCGAAGCCTTAAAAGCAGAAATACCGAAATACCGCCACATGTATTCAATAATGTTATTGCAAATTTTGCCAAAAGAATACGCTTGTGCCAGTTAAGCCGTGGTGGCCATTTACCAGATGTGTTATTTTATACATAATTTCCAAATGTGTACTTTATAAATCAATAAATATTTCAATGCTTTAATACTTAAAACCATGTTTTACTAAACTTTGAAATCTTGCGCTCTTATTGATACACCCTTTATTTTCAGTGCCGGATGTCCTTTGACTGAATTTTAGGATGTCTTCGGAAAAAGGACCTTTTGGTTATTGGCATTTAGCAGAAGACATCCTTAAATTCAGCTAAAGACATCCTGAAATTCAGTGTCCCTGAAACCAGCCTTCTCTACTACTACTACTACTACTACTACTATGTACTTTTAGTTTTAACTTCGTAATTTTTAAATCATACCTTGTCAATAAAATTAAACTGATTTCTTATAGATGGTTCTTCCTTTTCTTTAAGTATTGCTAGTTCCATATCATTACCTAGTAGCATCATATTTTTATTTCTTTTTTTATATTTGTTGATATACATTGATGTGAGTATTGCTAAAGCACCAGAAGCTGCTAAATACTTTAAATGTTTACTTTGATTAAAAATTTTATTTTTAAAGGTATTTTTATTACTTTTTTCTGAGAAAAAGCATTTTCCATATTTCTGAAATGTTCTTCTGCACAATAATTTTGAAGGTATGGTAAACATATTTAAATGATAATTAAAATGTACATTTCATGTTAGTTTTTTTCTAAATAAAATATTATGAAACATGATGTTTAGAAATGACATTAAAGTTTAAGGTTACGATGAAGATTTATTTATTTAAAATATGATGAGTAAAGTTTTCAGCTTTAAACAAAAATTAAAAAAAAGTATTGAAAGTAAAAAATATAATATTACAGTATAAAAATAAATTAAACAAAATATAATCAAATTAAATTAAAATTATATAACATTAAAATAAAAAATACAATTTAAACTTGAATTCAAATATAGTTTGTTTCAATAGGACCATAATGCCTGTTTCCTCTTGTTTTAATATCGTAAAGATCCAATAGACAGATAAATATCAATAAAATAGAGATAAAAATGAAATATTTTGAATCGGAATTATTTTCTTTATAATAATTTTGTGTATCCAAATGAATCCAAGTCGAACATATAAAATTGTTGTATTTGTCTTTTGCTTCTAATATAAACTCTTCTGACGCTGTTGGTTTCCATATTTTAAAATTTATTTCCAAGATTACGTAGTTTTTAAGAATATGTAGTTTGAATGCGTCTTTGTTATCTAAAATTAAAACCATCCTTTCAGTGTTTTGAGTCGGATTATTTACGTACCAGAAATAATTTCAAAGTTATATTTTTCCTTGCTGTTTATTACTTTTATTGGTCCATTTGTTACAATTATTTTCTTTTCGTAAAGAATGGCTTTATATGCGTTATAAGAAAATTTGATTTCACCTAATGGTAAATCCTAAAACAGATAATAGCAATATTAAATAAATATTTTATATTTTTAATTATTAATCTACCAAATTTAAATATCTTGAAACAAAATAAATAATGTAGTGTATGTTATATAAGTGCATATAATAGTATATTATGTATCAAGTTTGATAAACGCCATTTTATACACGAATTTAATTTAGGCACGAGCGAGCTTGCAAGCGAGTGCTTAAATTAATGAGTGTATAGAAGTTTATAAACGAGGTGCATACTATACTTTTTCTACGACAAATACTTATTTAAATCAAAAATTTGTATAGAGCGCCATCTATGAAACAACAGGGAAAACTGTCAAATGTCACATTTTTACATTTTATAAACACAATTATAAAGGTTATAAATCGAAATGTACATATATCTTGAAAATTAACAGTTTTTCACAGTGAAAGAAAAGAAAATGTTTTATAAGGACTTTACAGTAGAGTCCGTGCCCGAATTTAAGTTATAGTTTACTGCCGGCGAAATTAAAAGGTCAGTATACTGTATACAATGTTCATATAAACTTTTCAAATATTGGCGTTGAGAAACTATTTAATACTTTTGTATTTTTGTATTGAGATAATAAAATAATTTTCACATTTAGTATTATTTTACAAGAAAGGCACTTTATTTTAACGATTGTATGATATTTGACAACTGTCAACTAACTTAAAACTAACTTCAGCCCGTGACTAAAGCGCCATAAAGCCACAACTTGTCAATGTGTATTTAAAAGGGTACTTAGTGTCATGAAAACATGTACCATAATGGACGTTTTAAAGGTGGGAGTAGAAAAAGTATTTAAATAATAGTAATAATAATAATAATAATAATAATAAAATAGTAATAATAATAGTAATAATAATAGTAATAATAATAATAATGTTTATTATTGGTCATACAATTTTTAAAATAAACCCGTACCTAGGATAATGTAAAAAATAAATTTACCTACTTTCATTGATGACAAATCCTAAATTAGATTTAGCAAAATCAATAACTTATTTTATGATAAATAATTATTATAATTTAAAAGTATTCCATATAAATGCATAAAAAGATTTTAGTATCAGGGACGTGAAAGGCGAGTGCCAGGACCGGCCAAAGTGCATTTGTGCATATTGTACATATTGTACTTTTGTACCTATATATGAGTACAAATCTATCTAATCGCAAGTCTATTTCTTATCCGTTTAAATTTGTATAACTTCTTTACAATGGGCGCCTGTAGGTGCGAGCAAAAGGGGGCGGTGGCCCCCTGTTAAATTAAAACACCATACAAACGCGCATTTAAAGCTTATTTAGTAAATTTTGTTGTTTTTGTATCCAATTAAACGATACATTATGGGAACAGACCTGTAATATTTTACGGGCTTGTATAAAAGACCTGTAAAGTTTTACATGGTTGTAGAAAAGCAATTTTTGAAATGAAATGTCACATTTGACATATTAATTAAAATTTTAAATTTGAAAATCGTTATCTAAAGGTGAAAATAATAGTTATTTACGTGTCAAGCTTTGTAAATGAATCTTTACGGGCGAGTTGGAAGTTTGTGGGGTGAGCGACGCAGGAGCAAACCCCATAATCCAGTGAGCCTAGTGAAGATTAATTGCAAAGCGTGACACGTACAAACTTTTATTTTTACCTTTGGATAACGATTTTCAAATTTAAAATTTCAATTAATGTGTCAAATATGTCATTTCATTTCATAAATTGCTTTTCTACAAGCCTGTAAAACTTTACAGGTCTTTTATACAAGCCCGTAAAATTACAGGACTGTTCCCATTTATTATAATGTATCGTTTACTTGGATACAAAAACAACAAAATTAACCTTTAAAATGTCATTTACTAAGAAGGTGGAAATAAAAGTTTTTAAGTGTCACGCTTTGCAATTAGTCTTTACTAGGCTCACTGGTAAAGATTAGTTTAAAAAGCTTGACACGTAAATAACTATAAACAGATACTTGAATTTGCACGTAACTTTTTCTGTCACTGTTGCCATTCGTACGGTAATCATCGTATTTGTACCGTATTTTTATAATAGTTATTTATGTATTAAGGGCATAATAAGGTTTTTATGGTCCGAGGCGCGTCGTAGGACCATAAAAACCAGTTATGCCAGCAATGCATACAAAACTATATGCACGATTAATATATTATTATTTTTAATAGGTATATTATTTTTTTTATAGACGTTTACGTTAAAGAATTTTTGTTATAATTGTCATATTATAATGTCAACTGACATCAGTCAGTTTTAAAGATGAATGAAATTGAGGAAGCAGCTGAAAAGGCGAAAAATTGCGGCCTGCTGCCAGATAAACCAAAATCTTTATACGAAAAAACTTACTTCGAATATATGAAATGGTGTACATAACATTGTTGTTTTTAATTTTTGACGTTTCATTATAGCCCGCTGGGTCATAATAACGCCCGCGGGCTATAAAAAGACGTTTACGTTAAAGAATTTTTGCTATTATTCTATATTATAAAGACATCGTGCATAAACATTATTTATTTTATATATTCTGTTTTGACAAAAATTTTGGTTTAATGCCGATCTCTTTTTTAATATAGATTATTTATTTAGGGTATTTATTTGTACCTTATATTTTGTGTTTAAAGGAAATTTAATATTATTCCTTTAAGGAATAATATTAAATTTTATCCTGTTTTATTTGTTTCATATTTGTATTTTGTTTTACGATTTTAGGGTAACATCACTACCACCGTGTAGCAACAACTTAACTATTCTGAATATACAGGGTGCACCAAGTATGGGTATATTTTTTTATTTAAAGAGCTACAATTGTAGCTTTAAGGTACGTTAAGGTCTATTAAAATGGCATTTAAAAATTTAAAAAAAAATCAGAACTTCTTAAATAAATTGCAAAAAACTGAAAACCTGTCAAAACAAAAAAAAATTTATAACTTCTTTATACCTGGGAATTTTGAAAAAGAGTATTTTTTTACCTACTAGATTTTGAGTTGGGGCATTCCACGTTACTCGGTAATTTTTGTCCCGCCCGTCACAATTAAAAATTGTGAGTAAAAACCACAAGTTATTAAATTAATATTTTATAATATTATTTTTATTGTGCTTATAACTTATTAAAATCATAATAAACAATATTTTAAAATAAATTTTATAACGTGTAGTTTTTACTCACAATTTTTAATTGTGACGGGCGGGACAAAAATCCCCGAGTAACGTGGAATGACCCAGTTACCATCACCATTTTTGTTTTTCCTGTGGCTGCAATATTAATATTTTACATGGTTAGAAAAAAATAAAGGAATACAATCAAACTACATAATTTATAGCGGACATTGTAAAAAGAAAAGATAGTAAAAAGAAGAAAAAATAAATTTGATAAAAATGTAGATTCATGTGTATGTTTACATGTAAAACTTACTTTTTTTAAATTCCCATGAATAAAGAAGCTATAACGATTTCTGGTTTTGAAAGGTTTTTAGTTTTTTTCAAATATTTTGAGAACCGCTGCCTTTTTTTTCAATTTAACCGACTTTGTAGTTCTTTTTAAATACCAATAGTAGTATTATTATAATTCACATAGAAGGATACTTGGTGCTCCCTCTGATGAAGATTTTACAAAATTTTTATGCAACAGGCAATGTATTTTAGGATTAAAATGGTTTAAAATAAAGCTAAAACTATAAGGTATTTGTTATAAAACGATGTGTATAGGGATTCAGATTCTAAGAAAGATCTAGTTTACTTATATTTTTTTACAAACTAAAATTTAAACAAAAGCCACTAAACTGACCAGTATTAATAAGTACAGTGGCAAGTACACTTCGACTACACAAATGCGAAACCGAAAACATATACAAAAAATAACCACGTCGCGGAAAACGTAATTTTAGCGACACAAGGTATACAGGGTGTTTCATAATATATGCGCAGGACTTCAGGATGTGATAGCTCATCCAAAAAGATGAAAAAAGTCGCTATTAACTTACGCTCTAAAATGCACAATTTTCGAGATACAGGGTGTTGAAATTTTTTTTTTTTCTAAAATTTCAACACCCTGTATCTCGAAAATTGTGCATTTTTAATTAATAGCGACTTTTTTCATCTTTTTGGTTGAGCTATCACACCCTGAAGTCCTGCGCATATATTATGAAACACCCTGTATAACTTGAAAAAATGATTTCTTGATGGCAAATAATTTCGTGAAAACGGCAAGAGTCTATATTTTTTCGTTTTGGAGTTATGATTTTTTGAAAGCCCTGCTGCAATAAAA